TAAAAAAACAAATACAAAATCAAATCTAATGGTAAAACAAAAACAAAATCAAATCTAATGGTCACAAAAATTTGGTTCACACGAAGGTCCGACCCACGGCCCGGATTGCGAGCCCAACTACAAACAAAAGTCCAGATAACAAACGAGACTCTCACGCTAGGGTTTAACAAAGGGTTTTTTTGCTTGAATTTTTTTTCTCTGTGGTGCAAGATGGCTTCTCTAATGGCGATTCGCAGAGCTCGAATCTCCATTTGCACTTCCTCATACAAGGTACGTTCGTTTTACTCCTCTTCACGCTCTATTTCCGACCTCAAATTCCCTAAAACCCTAACCTTAAACTCCCCACTCTTATCAGTACCTCTGAAAACCCTATCAACATTTGCAGCACCAAACGATGCTCAACAAATTCCCCCACACCCCTCTGATTCACCTGGGGTTCCACAAAATCGTGATTTTGGAAGTCCTGCTCAACAGTGGAATAATCAAACCCAAAATTATCCGAATAATAATCATATGAATATGTCGTATCCTCAGTATCAAACTCAAAATCCTAATCAGGTTAATCAAGGTTATCCAAATTATGGAAATGTTAATCCCGGTCAAGGATTTGCTAATCCTGGTCAAGGATATAGCCAAGGTTTTCAGAATCAGAACTTTTCTCAGCGTCCAAACATTAGTGACAGACACAATATAAGCCCTAATGTTCAAAATCAGAACATTCAGTATAGGCCAAACCCTGGTGAGCCTCGAAATAACATGCCTCCTGGAAATATTAACCAATGGAATAATCAAAATCAAGGCTTCGGACAACAAGGTAACCCTAGTGCAGCTCCAAGTTATCCACAAGGTGGATATCAGAATCCAGAACACACACAACATTCTAATAGGAATCAGAATTATCCACAGCCTGGTTCTGGTAATCAGTGGAGTAATCAAAATCACATGCCAAGATTAAGCCCAGGTCAACATCCTCAGGCACAGAGCGTCCAGCCAGGAAGCGGGTTTCCGATAAATAATCAATCTCAGAACCAAGCTCAGGTTGTGCAGAATCAAGTGCCAAGTGTTCCTCCGCCTACTGTTGATTTAATCAGCTTGTGCCGAGAGGGTAAAGTTAAGGAGGTTATTGAACATATGGAGCAGGGAGTAGTTGGTGATGCACAATGTTTTGAGATGCTCTTTGAGTTATGTGCTAACTCGAAGAAACTTGAAGATGCTAAAAAGGTGCATGATTACTTTTTGAGATCAAAGTTCAGGAGTGATCTTCGTTTGAACAATAAAGTTATTAATATGTATTCTAAGTGTGGAAGTATGATAGATGCGCGCAGGGTTTTTGATCATATGCGTGATAGGGATTTGGACTCGTGGCATTTGATGATAAATGGATATGCACTGAATGGATTGGGGGATGATGGGTTGACATTGTATGATCAGATGAGGGAGTTGGGAATGAAGCCAAGCGAGGAAACTTTTCTTTACGTTTTCGAGGCTTGTGCAAGTGCGGACGCCATAGATGAGGCTTTCATGCATTTTGGGTCGATGAAGAGTGAGTATGGAATTGCTCCACAGGTGGAGCACTACTTGGGACTTATGGGTGTTCTAGGAAAATGTGGACATCTTGCTGAGGCAGAGGATTATATCACTAGGCTCCCATTTGAACCAACAGCAGCTGTCTGGGAAGCATTAATGAATTATGCTCGTATACACGGCGATATTGATCTTGAGGACCGAGCTGAGGAGTTGATGGTTGGTCTTGATCCTTCTAAGGCTGTTGCTAATAAGATTCCCACTCCGCCACCGAAGAAGCAGTTAGCAATTAATATGCTTGAGGGAAGAAATAGAGTAGCTGAATCTCGTAATCCAACCCTATATAAGGATGATGAGAAGTTGAGGGCTGCAATGAAAGAACAAGCTTATGTGCCTGATACTAGATATGTTCTTCATGATATTGATCAGGAAGCTAAGGAACAGGCTTTGCTATACCACAGTGAGCGTTTAGCCATTGCATATGGTCTGATTAGCACACCTGCTAGAACACCTTTGCGCATTATAAAGAATCTCCGTGTATGTGGTGATTGTCACAATGCTATCAAGATTATGTCAAGGATTGTTGGGCGAGAGTTAATTGTCAGGGACAACAAACGGTTTCATCATTTCAAGGATGGCAAATGCTCTTGTGGTGATTATTGGTGAATTACGGTGGCTAAAGCAGTATTTGTAGACTGGTTGCCTCAATTCTTAGGATCATCAAGAAATCTTCAAGAATCTGCATGCTGGAATGAGTATGATGCTGAGATCCCTATAGACTTGTTATGACACTGTTCAGGATCATCTAAAATCACCAACAACTTGCATGGTTTGATAATTACAATGCCAACTATCACCATATCTTGCAATTTATGGATTGCTTGCTCTCTTGTGGATACCAAAGACTCCTAATAGTAGTTTGTATCTTTGTGTTAAAGAGATTAGTCAGCGAAGTGCCAGTCTCTGTTTGATGTTCCATTTGTATCTGCACAATATTTTCACGTTGTCTTCTGGTTCTCACTTGGCAGGAAAATGCTTTGGGTTATGTTATTGTTTCATAAAACTCAGAGATGTACATTTTTTACAAATTGACTACTAGCTTCCATGCATGTGTGAGGCATCCGAAATCGTGAATTAATAAATTAAATAATTTCATTTATTCTGTAAAAGTTGTACAACGCAATAGAACAACTTTTTGTTTTAGTTGGATGACAAAATGGTCTTCTTAGGCGAAATATTTGGAAATTTGGCTTTTGGCCAAATACATAGACAGCCCGTTTATTTTCCATTTTGGCACTCTATCTCAACCTTGTTCTATTACTTTCTTTCCTCCTGATATACTTTCTTATTACATGCACAATCCTTTCATTATATTCTGAAACGTTAAATTTTAAGCGGTGGTTTAGATTTTCCAAACTCTATTGCTTTTACTAATTCAAGTTTTACGGTAACTTATGAAGAGATCTGCCCATCTTTGGTTTGTTTAGAGGACGCAGAATGCTTCGAGAGGAGCAGAAAGCATGGCAACTTTTCCAAGATCTACGGTGTCTAGACTTTTCTGCAAAATTATCATTGGGGATGAATTGTATCATTTTTTTTTTTATTTTTCTTTTTTCGTATTGTATCATTGCTCACTATCCGTGAACCAATTATTGTGTGGCTTCAAAAAACTGTGTTTTTTGTTTTTTATTAGTAGACTAACACTTCTTATTTATTTGTTTAAATTAATTTAATTTAAGTATTCTGTATGATTATTCCTTATCCTTAAATATATGTATGCAAAAAGTTTAGCTTATGTTAACGTGAACCTTATTTTTATGGACTTTTTTTTCTTTTAGCCCACGCCAGAAAGTAATTACATTCGGTAGCCGAAAACATACAGAGTGTGTGTGTACATATATATATATATATATATATATATAAGGCAAAATACATACTTTACCCGTCGATCTTGTCACCAAATCCCTCTTACACACCCGTTAAATACGGGAATGATATTACACACCAAAACTTTTAAAGGTGTGTCAATTACACACCATTTCGGTGTTTGACCACATCTGCTTAAAGATTGCTATTACACGCACCAATCAACATCTGACACGTGTCATAAATAAAATAAAAAAGAAAAACCGGGAAAAAACCCTCTGCCCCCCACCCCCTCTCCTCATCTTCCCAAAGAAAAAAATACAGTAAAGACAAAAAACCCACCCCTTCCTCATCTCCCCAACCCATCATCTTCTCCACCACCACCATACTACCACCAACCCTTCCATTACAAGCACCTTCTTCCCTAACTATAGATTCAGTTTGCCCGATTTTTAACAAGTTTTAACAACATTCATCACAAATCCTTATACAGATTTCAAATTCAAGCTCAAACCCAAAGCTTCAAACTTGTTAATGGTATTTTTTGAATTTTATCAAAATTAGTCACCTAAATAAATTTTTATTCAACAATAATCACGAATTCAAACTAATTTTCTAGGTCATGGAACACCAAAATCAACAAGACCCGATAACATTTTCAAGCTTTTTTAAAAGGTCAATAATGGTGATTTTAACAAGACCCAATAGCTCTTCTTTTCTTCTTCTTTTTCTTTTCCTTCTTAGTCATGGGGATTGGAGAGACGAAACATGAGGGGGTAGACAAAACTAGGATGGAGGTTGGGGAAGAAGACGAAACAGGAGGGGGGGAAGGGGGAGGGGTGTGTGAAGGAAACGCTGGGGTTTGGAGTTGGGGAAGAAGACATGGGTTACATTTTTTTTTTCTTTAATTTGAAAAGAAAATAGTTTAAAAAAGGGGAAAATAAAAAAAAAACTTAATTTCAGACGAATTTTGTAGTTTTCACGCGCCTCTTTTATGTGTAATACACGCATGTGACACATGACAAAAGAGGTGTGTAATTGACATACTTTTAAAAGTTTTGGTGTGTAATACTATTTCCGTATTTAACAAATGTGTAAGAGGAATTTGAGTACAAGGTCGATAGGTAAAGTATGTATTTTGCCAAAATATAATAATTTTTCGGCTATTATTTTAAGAACAGCTATACAATGCCATTTTTCCTATTTTTATTGAAGTCCTTTATGTATGTTCTTTTTTGTCTTTTGACCCCTTTTGCTCTTCCTCTTCTTAATCTGGTGAGGAAACAAAATTCCAAAAAATCCATCGAGGAAAGGAACGATGAAGAAAATTGATTGGTTATTTGTTTATCCTTGTATGCCTGTATTGGGTGTGTATGATGATGTTTTAATGAGTCACATTTCATTTTAGCTCCCTGATACTCCGAAAGTTGATGTGCCACTTACCATGGCGTCATTTCCACCTTTTGCTATGTGAATTAATATGGGAAGCAATTAACTTTCTCATTTCTGATTAAACATAATTTTGCAAACATCATACGAGATGTACCACAGTGGCATTAACATCAATGAATTACACTTGTCAGCGGGTACCATGCTTGGTGCAATTGATCTTATTCTGAAACTTATGTTTTGTCAATGCTATTTAACTTTTCATAGTTGCAAAACCTATTGGATACAATAACAATAACAACAACGACCCAGTGTATTTCCACAAATGGGGTCTTAGGAGGGTGAGATGTACGCAGCCTTACCCCTACCCTGAACGGGTAAAGAGACTGTTTCCGATAGACGCTCAGCTAACCTATTGGATGAAACCTTAAATTATAATGAAACTATTAACTTATTATCAAATATCAAACTAGTACTAAGAACTATTGCTACCAGCATGCAGAAATCTTGCATTTATACAAGGAACATATATCTAAGTGATGTGATGCCTGCTGAGCTAGGAATTCCCAGTTGGGGCCTTCAATTAGGGATGAAAAAACTTCTAACAAAGTGTCATAGTGCGGGTCATCATAGTCATGAATTCATCCAAATCAATCGCACCATCTCCATTTGCATCCACAGCCTTCACCATTTTCCTGCAATCTTGAAGGCTGCACCTCTGCCCGAGCCCCTTCTGCAACTCATATACTTCCTGCACACTGATCTTTCCATCACCATCCTTGTCAAAAGTGTGAAATGCACTCTTCAAATCCATAGTTTTGACACCACCTTCCTTCTTTTGCGCTTCCACAAACTCCTTGAAATCAATAAATCCATCACCATTTGCATCTGCAACGTCGAAAATCTTTTGAACTTCCCTTGTAAGGAGGTTTTTCTTCCCCATGGATTTGAGAATAGCCTTGTATTCTTCTGGTGAAATCTTGCCATCTTTGTTCGAATCAAATTTATCAAAGACTTTCTTTAGTTCATCCACACTAAGTTGGTAAATAGGCAATAAGCCTGAGTTTTGTCTCTCTTTGGTAAACATTCTAGTTGGCTTATGCAGGAAACTCCTCTTTGAGAGGTTGTATTGGAAATCAAGAAAGCTCAAGTTCGACATTGGAAAGGTTGTATTGTATTTGGGAGAAGATATCTAAGACTTAAAACTGTAATAAACTTGGAGAATAACATTGTAGCACAGGACCTTAAATAGTAGAATGGTTATGAATAAAAGAAACAGATATTCTGATGCTTAAAGCGAAGAAGATAAGGAAGAATATTATTTATTCCTCAGCTACTTGTAAGCAACAATATTCTCAATCCAACGTATGAAAACATAAAAAGAACCAAGAAGGAAATAGCTGAAGTGAAAAAGGTATATAAAGCTATAAATACATTCTAGATCCTCGCCGAAAGTACTTTGTTCTGCTACGGATGTATAGAATCTGTCCTTTATTTGACTTGAGAAAATTGGTTTAGAATTGGACCCTCACTTTGCCCCTCAAGGAATACAGCAATTCCGCGATGTAATGTGCGTCTTCACAGCTCTCCTAATGTATTATGGTTAAACAAAATGGTATGAGTATGCTTTTGTCAAGGTGGTTTCAATCATCCAAGTCCACCATCACTTCAATATCGTTGCGTAGTGTTATTTTCTGCACATAACCTGTAAAGCTAAATAATTATATTTGGTATTAAGATTCGGAACATATCTATCACTTAACCACGAAAAAGAAGTGGAAACCCAGAAGACAGAATGCACATATCAGTCCCATATTTATCAAATAATAAGTAAACAATAATCTTGATTTGCAAAATAGCAGCAAAGTAGCTTTTAGGGGCTAACTTTTCTATCGTTTGATTAAAGCTTCTCGGGGCTAATTTCCGAAGAATAAAAAACTTGTGCAGAGAAATCCCTGGGTGCATATGTACGTACAGCCGTCTGTGGAGGAGAATTCTTGTATACCTACTCATTTACAAAAATATTTGGTGGACCACATTAGATAGCACTAAAGGAATCAAGAACTTAAATACCTTCATAGTGGTTGATCAAGTTAATTCACCAGAGACAGCCAGAGAAAGAACAATCTCAGGAATTTATTCTCCCTTTAGAGGCATGAACCTGAATTATGTCCGAAACTACAAGCAGAAAACGCGGAATATGGAAAACATGGAGGAAACACGCTTTTTCCTTTAGTTTAGAAAAGGTGGACAAATTTAGGCCAGTACATGAAATATGCTACATGACACACAGATTATAGGTCAAAGGAGCAATAAGTAAAACAAGACCAAACACGATATTCTCCTCCAACTCTTAAGACATCAGACAGATGTAGAGACGCACAAAAGGAAAAGCATGTCACATGATGCATATAGAAGTAAATTTCAAGATCCTGACTCTAAGCACTCTAGTTTTTCCGGATAAAAGATTTTTTTGAAAGGTTGCCGGAAGCATCACATTTCCAATTTAAAAGCACCTATACCAGCAGCACAAGCCCAAAATAGCAGCTAAACGAAAACCATATTGCTCCAACAACCAATACAAATTGCTAAAAGCAAAATACACATCAAGTAGAAAAAACTCTATGAATTAAAGAGCACATGGCTCCACAATCTCAACAAGATGGTCGCTGCCTTACTGATTTAGTGTTTCCATTACAAGGATCTCTAATTTCCTCTATAGCAAACTATGATATTTGGTGGTCCATCCATTTTCTCAATTCTGTTTTGTATCTCTTCTGAAGTCTATCTATGCCCATAAAGAGAACCCCATTTTTTTCCTTTTTGATAAGTCCGTTAAGAGAAAAAAACTTCGGAAGATGAGAGATACAATACTGTGTTTTTTGGAGGCTACTTTCTCACTTAAATCCATAAACTAACCTAGGTCTAAACTCACCACCGATCAGAACCATATATATAGTCCTTTTGAATTGTACTTCATTAACTAAATTTACTAAAGGGACAAACAGTTCTCTAGAGCTATGGAAGTCTCAATGACAGCTAATCATCAACTAATTTATAATCTATTCTTCCAATGATTTTATGCGCTCCTGCTTCTTTACGACCATTTCTATATACTCCTACTGCTTCCAGAACTTCAAACTAATCCTCTTTCTCTCTGTTACAGTCCCAATTTCAACAACTCCTAGTCCATGCAAAAAACTACAGGTAACCAATGTTACATGAATGTTCATAGAAGATATTATTCAGGTAGGAAATAAAATTATGATAGTACCGATTCCAGCGCAAGGTATGCATTTACAGATGGTCTCTTTCCCCCTTTTGTTATAGTAACTGACCAATCCTGTCCCTTGGCAACTCCGACATTTCCCAGTCCACTCATAGACGACTGCCTTGCAATCCTGAAGTAATAAGAATGACCAATGGAAAACTCATCAAGCATAGGTTAAAACAGAACTTGCAAGCAGTCTTTCTCAACGTATACACAGAGACCATAAAATTATTCATAAGAATCATACAGTAGCCGGCAATTCTATCAGTAAGTCTCATAGAATTCTGATGACATAGACACCGTCCTATCCAGTGCCTTAGCTCTGGTACGTCGTACAAACATCGCTGTCTTGAACATACTGCATAGGAACTCCAGAAAGTTTCCCCCTCCCCCCCCCCCNCCCCCCCCCCCCTCTCTCTCTCTCTCCTTCTCTAAATATTCCAAAATTATCCATGTATTAGGTGCTCCAAATGTTCATTCCATACATAAAAGAACTCAATAAAGTAAAATGAAAAGTTTGTGTTCCTCATATTCATATTTAGCAATCATGTAATTAAGCACAGTGAAATACGAAGTCAAGAAAAAAGAGGAACAAACAATAACCCACTGTCTAGAACTTCAACTATATATGTGTTGAGGGATGCTGAGCTGTATATGAGCTGGCAAATTAGTTAGTTAGTTAGTGCTAATGTTAGTAATTAAGGAGTCATTTAATTTTTTATATATATAAGGATGTACAGTGTATTGTAAGCTTAGTGAGTGGAAATAACAAATCATTTTCCAGAGCTTCATTTCCTCTGTCTTCGTCTTCTCTCTTCTTCATCTCTCTCACCATTGACAGAGCTTTCAAGCTCTTAACATGGTATCAGAGCTGTGAGAATCGATCGGAATTTCGCTCACAACTCACCTAATTCTCAAAGCTTATTGCATTTCCAATTTCCTGCAGATTTGTGAAGAAATTGTTCCAAAGTCACATATCGCAAAGCTAGGGTTTGAGTTACTGCCCAATTTCAGATAAAATGGCGATTGAAGACGGAACGGGAGTCACGACTACAGGTAATGAAGCTAAAATTGACCACACACACCCACTCTTTGTGCATCCATCGGACACTCCGGGTTCAATTTTAATTCAGATCCAGCTCAAAGGATCTGAGAACTATGGACTATGGCGAAGGTCGATGCGTATAGCACTTCAAGCCAAACGGAAATTAGGTTTTGTAGCCGGAACTTGTAGATAGGAACCATTCGATGATGAATTTCATGAGTATTGGGAAACATGCAACGCAATTGTCCTTTCATGGATAATGAACACAGTTGCGCCTCATCTATTCGGTGGAATTGACTATGCTTCTGATGCACACCTCGTATGGTAAGATCTGCGGAAGCATTATAACAAAGTGAACATAGTGCGTATATTCCAGATACATCGGGAAATTGCAACAATTTCTCGAGGAACAGACTTTGTTTCTATGTATTTCACGAGGCTGAAAGAGCTATGGGCAGAATATGATGCAATGGTACCTTCTCCAAATTGTGGATATGCAAAATCCAAGGAGAATGTAGAACATTTCTTACAGCAACGTTTGCTTCAATTTCTCAGTGGGTTGAACGACTCATATGACCGGGCGAGGCGTCAAATTCTCATGAAAACGACAGAATCAACCTTGAATCAAGCGTATGCAATGATTATTGAAAGTGAAAGTCAATTGACACCAACATCCGGGGTCAATTCCACAGTAGAAGGGAATGACATTACAGCACTATGGAGTGCAAAAGGAGCACAACAAAAACCAAAGAGGAACTTCAATATATTTTGTGAACATTGCAAGTTAAAAGGTCATGCCACGGAAAACTGTTACCAATTAGTTGGATACCCTCCAAATTATAAAGGGAGAAAGAAGAATGGGGCATCTGTCAATAATGTGATATCATTTGGTAGACAACTGGACCAAAACTCTAATGTGATTTCTGGCCAGCATTATCCTGGAGGTTACAATCCTAGAATTAACAATCAAGGTTACAATCATGGATGTTTTCCTGGTGAAGAGCATCGTGGTTCAAATTTTGTTGGTGGCAACCAAGGTTTTGCTACACATGACCAGAGTCAAGGAATGTTGAACAATGTTGTTGCAAGTCAAAGTGCAACAAATATGAATGCAATTCCAGCACCTATGGTCTTCACCCAAGATCAATATAACCAAATCCTGAAGATGCTGAACAAAGGTAACAATACTGAAGCAGAAGTAGCAGCTAATGCAGCAGGTATTGTTACTCCTCTCCTGCTAACGATAGGAATGATAAATAGATTGTAGATAGTGGTGCTACAAATCACATGGTGGGAGACAGTGATATGCTCTCCACAGTTACTAAACGTGAGAATCAGAAGGTGTTATTACCTAATGGCAGTAGAGTCTCCATTACACACATAGGAAGTTCTGAATTGTTGCAAGCAAGCATTCATAATGTTTTATGTGTCCCTAAGTTCAAGTTTAATTTGTTGTCAGTAGCAAAATTGACAAGAGAGCTGAGATGCTTCATGGCATTCTATCCTGACTTTTGTCTAATGCGGGACCTTCACACTGGGAAGGTGAAGGGGATTAGTAGGATGGAAGAAGATCTGTATCAATGGCACTCAAAGAATAAAAGGGCGTCATCGCTTGTCCCTTCAGTATTCCTAACAGTACATGATGAGGAGGAGCTATGGCACAAGGGGCTTGGACATGTCTCTGGAAGGATATTAAGACAGCTTTCTTTAGTTAGAAGTAACATGAATAATACTAAGTCTTGTAGTGTATGCCCTCTAGCTAAGTAGACAAGAATTCCCTTTCCTATAAGTAATAGTAGAGCTGCAAAGCCATTTGACTTGGTACATGCAGATGTCTGGGGTCCCTATAGGGTTGAACGAAAACATAGACATATCCTTGAAGTGGCCAGAGCACTTAGATTTCAAGCAGGGTTGCCATTGAGATTTGGGGTATTTGTGCTGTCAATGCTGTGTATCTCATTAATAGGATACCATATCCAGTATTGGGAAACAAATCACCATTTGAAGTTTTCTTTGGCAGACAACCTAACTTGAATCATTTGAGAGTCATGAGCAGCCTATGCTATGGAACAATCACTGGAGCTAATGGGGATAAGTTTCGTCCAAGAGTTGAAGCAGCAGTACACATGGGGTATTCTAGCACACAAAAGGGGTACAAGTTATATAGCCTCTCACGCAAGGTCTTCTTCATATGCAGAGATGTTGTCTTTAAGTAGGATGCTTTTCCTTTCAAAACATCTCAAACACCAAATGCCTACAGGATTCCTGCTTGTCCTGCACCCATGCCACATATGGATTCACCTTCAGAGTCATCACCTATACTCAGGATAGTTCACCTATTGTACAACCATCTTCTCCAGAACCCAGATTTAGCCCAGAATCACTTCCTGGTATACAGGATACTCCTGAAGCACCCAGTCCAGTACTCTCATCACCTGGACATTCTCAACACTCCTGTGATTCAGCAACCATACATCACATAATGACCTTCCTGCTGTTCCTCTTCCACAGTCCAGGAGAACTGCTAGAACCTTTAAACCTCTTGGATGGTTGAATGATTTTATGCATGGTCCACTGCCTAGTGCTAACTCTTCAGCTCTTGCATCTACCCTATGTCTGACTACATGTCTTACACCTCTCTTTCAGCTTCCTACCTTGACTCCATTTGCAATTATTCTGTCATCAAAGAACCAGATTCCTATTCAGAGGCTCTACAAGATAGATTCCTATTCAGAGGCTCTACAAGATGAACACTGGGTTACAGCAATGAAGCAGGAGGTTCAAGCATTGCTTGATAATAACACTTGGTCCTTGGTGGACTTACCTGCTGGTAAGGGGCCATAGGAGGTAAGTGGTTATACAAGGTGAAGTATAATGCTAAGGGAGAGGTAGAAAGGTATAAGGCTCGTTTGGTGGCTAAAGGATACACACAACAGGAGGGGTTAGACTACCGGGAGACCTTTTCTCCTGTGGTGAAGATGGTCACAGTCAGAGCTGTTTTATGGCAGCTATGTATGGTTGGCATTTACACCAGATGGATGTCTTTAATGCTTTTTTGCAAGGAGATTTGGTGGAAGATGTTTACATGGTGCAGCCTCCGGGTTTTGTTAGACAGGGGGAGTTGTCCAAGGTATGCAAATTGCAAAAGTCCCCTATATGGACTGAAGCAAGCATCAAGACAGTGGAATTTGAAATTGTCTGAGGCTCTTTTGACCTCTGGTTTCTCCCAGAGTCACTACGATTACTCTCTTTTCACTAAGAAAGTTGATGGCCATATTGTGATCATCCTTGTGTATGTGGATGATCTCTTGATCACTGGTTCTTCTGTCTCTCTTATTCAGGCCACTAAGGCATTACTTCAGCATCATTTCAAGATCAAGGACCTGGGGGAGATGAAGTATTTCCTTGGCCTTGAAATAGCTAGAAGTAAAGCTGGGATCTCTGTTTGTCAAAGAAAGTTTACTTTAAACTTAATCTCAGACCTGGGCTTGGCAGGATCTAAGCCAGCAAGTAAACCCTTGGAAGTCAATCAAAGACTCACTAGTGTGGCATATGACAAGGGTCTTACAGCAGCTGATACTACAGAGGTAGATGAGGCAATAGAAGATGAAAGCAATAGAAGATGCCACAGGTTATCAAAAACTGGTGGGCAAGCTCCTATACCTCACTATGACTAGGCCTGACATAGCCTATGCAGTACAAAACTAAAGCCAATTCATGCATTCACCCAAGAAGTCACACATGGAGGCAACCTTAAGGGTAGTCAAGTATCTCAAAAATGCACCTGGTTTAGGGATTTTATTATCTTCTAGAAGGTCTAATGAGCTGACAGTATTTTGTGATGCTGATTGGGCTACTTGCCCTATGACAAGGAAATCAGTCAGTGGTTTTATTGTCAAGATTAGAGACTCTTTACTCTCATGGAAGTCAAAGAAACAGAGCACTATATCAAGAAGTTCAGCAGAAGCTGAATACAGGAGCATGAGAACAGCAATTGCAGAAGTGGTTTGGCTAGTAGGACTGTTTGGAGAACTGGATCTGCAGATTCAGCTGCCAGTGAAGTTGTTTTGCGATAGTAAAGCAGCCCTTCAGATTGCAGCGAATCCAATTTCTCATGAACGGACAAAGCACATAGAAATTGACTGCCACTTCATTAGAGAAAAGATACAAAAAAGGATTGATAGCAACAGCATATGTGAAATCAGAGTTGCAACTGGCAGACATTTTAACTAAAGGTCTTGATGGAGCTCAGCATGATTTTTTGTTATCCAAGCTAGGAGTGTTCAACTTGTTCACACCACATAGCTTGAGGGGGAGTGTTGAGGGATGTTGAGTTGTATATGAGCTGGCAAATTAGTTAGTTAGTGCTAATGTTAGTAATTAAGGAGTCAGTTATTTTTTTGTATATATAAGGATGTACAGTGTATTGTAAGCTAATGAGTGGAAATAACAAATCATTTTCCAGAAGCTTCTTTTCCTCTGTCTTCGTCTTCTCTCTTCTTCATCTCTCTCACCATTGACAGAGCTTTCAAGCTCTTAACAATATGTATATACAAAACTAAAAAGATACTAATAAATTTTAAAAGTATGCATATGTGTTTAGAGGGGCACTTCTATTGAACTTAACTAATGAGTATACAGTATAACAGTTAGCAAATTAAACGGTTCAAATAATTTTACCAGTCTTATCGCCGTACATTAGGTCAGGATAGAAGTATTACCAACCTTATCTCAACTCAAGAATATCAATTAGAGCCAGCAAGTTTGCAACTTTACAGAAACCCAATACAACAAAATAAACCATTCCACGTAAAGAGAACTTAAAATATAAATTAAAAACAAGAACCTCAAATACGGGGTCACACCGGAGCCGGCGGTCAATTTCCTCCGGCGAAACAGGAGAAGTATCAGGGTAAGTCATAGGAAGAGGAAGAGCTTCACTATCATCAGCCAAATAACTCTCTCTGTTACGTGACCAACGCCTTTCCTTTGCATTCACTTTTGTGTTCTTTTTAATGTTATTATTCCCAATTCGCTTATTAGCCATTTCGTCTGAGTTTTGGCTAATTCTGCCAAACCCAGGTGCTGCTGAATCGGCAGCGGCGTGGCAACGAATGAAGGTGAGTTTATGAGGAGGAAAAAGAGAAACTGTGGAAATGGAAGAATTTAGAGGAGTAAAGATTGAACAAGGATTTATTAAAGGCAACATTTGAAAGAAATTAATAAGGTGAATTGTAGTATCATAGAGTAATAATCAAGTGTGTTGTCAAATGTTGGTTTAATGTCATTTATCGGAGAAAAGATAAAGGAGTAACAGTGTGAGTTTAAAAAAAGTGGGTGTTCATTTTAAGGAATTTTAAGTATGTATGGACGGAGAAAAGACAGCGGAATTTGCCAAAACACTGGAGAAGGTCGATGAAATTTGCTAAGTATAATTCCGAAAATAGTTATAGCCCCGTTTGGTCAGTTTTTTCTTTTTTCTTTTCAAAGTTAAAAGATATTTGTCCAAGCTTTTTGGAGAAAAAAAATATTTTTAATCAGAAGCCATAAGCAGTTTTTGAGAAGTAGAAAAAAATAGTTTCTCTCTAAAAATACTTTTTTAAAAGAGATTTAAAATTATTACTTAAAAGTTTCACCAAACACTAATTGATGTTCAAAAGTGTTCTTTAAATTAAATTAATCAAATACAAACTATTTCTCACAAAAAATACTTTTAAGAAAAATACTTTTCAAAATAAGTTGGTTTTAGAAACTTGGCCAAACAAGGTATCATATTGGTTTACCCAACTCAATAACATAAATCAATTGTTTAACCGTATTAATTACTACTACATTGTCACTTTAATTTTATTGCTAAATATGATAAATTATTGTAATTTTTAAACAATCGAATGTAAGTAAGTTTCTCCGTCAGTAATTATGTTTTTTCGGCACGTTTAATGGTTAAGAATAACATTACTAGAATTGAATTTCAGTAATTTTATTAAAATTCTTGTTTACTTAGATTTTCTTGCTCTCTTTATAATTACGTGAAGAAGAGTACAATTTGAGGACCACTGACCCGTAAGGATTCTCAGAGTTTGCTCAGGTCTAAGATTTTTGTACTATTAAATTGTACTTTTAGATGTTCAAAATATTTCTAAAATAATTTTGTATAGGGTCAAATTTGACCGTCAACGTCTCTACGCCAATGGGTACGCCCACTGAGTATACGTCAACTAACATAAGGGTACGACTTGGACGTGGGGACAAAAGCGACATCGTTTAAGACTCAGTGTCTTCACTAGGAAAACATTACCTATTTTTGTATCTTTTTGATTATTTCGAGGGAGGTCTCCTACTATATAAGGGAGACCTTCACATTGTAAAAAGGGGATTTTGGAAGAATACAAGGCTCTCATTTTCTCCTACTCTCTCTCTATCTCTATCTCTAACGAATACTTTCTCTTGAGTTCATATTATCATTTTACACTATTAGATCTACAACAACAACTTCATTTTTCATCTCTAGGTCTATTATATTTGATTACGATTTACTCTTTCCTACTTTTGATTGTTTTTAAGCTTGCAAAGTATATCGATAACTTTTGAGCCAAACAATTTGGCGCCGTTTGTGGGGATTTCGAGAATCAAAATCATAGTATCCACCTAGAGAGCAACCAACTACCATTCTCTACACCACGCGAAAACTAAAGATGGCTGAAAATAACACCAGAATGAAAGCGATAGTGGGTGTTACAGCCAATCTCCTTGATCCTCTCAACAAGGCCGGTGACGAGGGCATTTTGAATGCAACCCCTAGCATCACGCCAGGTGCAGAGATCTCATCTTCCCCATCCGAAGATCTGACGATCTTGCATGAAAAAGGAGCTTCCACATCTGCGGCTAAGGAAACACCCCTGGTGGTCAAGAAGCTACTGGAAGAATGGCTAACAAGCACTCTAAGTGGCTTGGTTGAGAAGTCACCGCAAAGTAACGTCAGGTGTATACCAACGGTAGGTACCACGTGCTGCCGTGGGTGAACCTGAAGCTGCACGAGCAAATAACACACCCATCGAGGCACAAACCAACGACGGCACGCTAACAGCCATCCTAAAGAAGATGGAAGAAATGGAGAATGAAAACAAGGCACTCCGCGACCAAATGAAAGAACATCAGGAGAGGGTAGACAAGATCCCCGGTGCTCCCAAGTTGCTACCGAAACGCGACGTGGGGAGGTTCGTTGAACAACCATACACTGAAGAAGCTGCCCCTTACCCTATCCCAAAAACCTTCAAGATGCCACCCTACTTGAGGGTATATGACGGAACCACAGATCCCGAGGATCATTTGATCCACTATGTCACTGCTGTAAAGGGCAACGACCTATCAAAAGAACAGGTACCATCGGTGCTGCTGAAGAAGTTTGGTGAGACGTTGACAGGAGGGGCCCTAACGTGGTACTCTCAACTACCAGCTAAGGCGATATCAACGTTCGAGGAAATGGCGGATAAGTTCGTCACCGCCCATGCAGGTGCGAAGAAAGCGGAAGCAAGGGTCAACGACATCTTCGCCGTCAGGCAAACCGCAGGGGAGGGACTCAGGGACTTCCTAGCCAGGTTTAATAGGGTAAGGATGAGTCTACCAAACGTATCGGAAGGTATGGCAGTCGCCGCTTTCCAGAACGGGCTAAACAGGGATGGTTCGAGGGCAACTAAGAAGCTACTAAGCCGCCTCATGAAATATCCCCCTACCACATGGGAGGAAATCCACAACGCCTATTGCGCTGAGGTACGAGCGGACGAGGATGATCTTAACGAGCCGACCCAACGACTAACAACGATACACTCAGAAATAAGGAGGGATCCACGCAATGAAGGACGACGAGAACAATTCCCACGCTCCAACAAAGACCGACACCAGCCATACACCAGATCCTCCCATCCACCACCAAGGCATACGGACGCGCTACAGCGACACGTCGCCCCACTCCGAAACGAAAGAGGTACGCCTCCTTTATTATCCGCCCATAACTTTTGTGTGTCTCCTTCAGAAATAGTGTACGCACTGGAGAAGTTGGGTACCAAAGTGCAGTGGCCGCAGAAGATGAAATCAGACCCTGCCACGAGGAAATCAAACGTCCTATGTGAGTTCCATTAGGAACGGGGACACAAAATCGAAGACTGCATAGGCCTACGGCACGAGGTGGTCAGGATGCTGAACCAGGGATACCTGAGGGAATTACTCAGTGACAAAGGGAAAATCAACTTGGGACGCGGACGGGAACAACCCCACAGGCCGCCGAAGCCGCCCTCCCCAGCACGCACGATAAACATGATCGTCGGAGGCAGCGACGACTTAGCGATCAATCACGTCAAGTTCGCCACCACGCACAAACTAAAGCGGACCATCGCCCATGAACGGTATGACGACTTCGAAGATAGTATCACCTTCGATAAATCTGATGCCGACGGTTTGTCCTTCCCTCATTACGATGCTTTAGTTATCACTTTACGTATTGCGGATACAGATGTTAAAAGAATCATTATTGATGACGGAAGCGGCGCCTGTATTGTCCACCCGGGGGTCCTCGTACAAATGGGACTCGAGGATAAGGTAATACCGCATTGCATAACACTAACTGGTTTTAACAATGCAGTGGAACGGACATCCGGAGAAATATCACTGCCCGTTTTAGCAGGAGGAGTCACGCTGGAAACAACTTTCCACGTGATGAACCAGGAAACGGCATACAACGTCATCATAGGGCGCCCGTGGATACATGCCATGCGAGCGGTCCCTTCAAGCCTTTACCAAGTGATCAAGTTCCCTACCCCATGGGGAGTATTCAGCATTCGAGGCGAGCCGCGCACCGCACAGGAATGCTACAAAATAGCTCAAGATTGCGCCCACACCCAACAGCTAAAGGGGGCGAGCGCGGAGGCATAGCAATTAGCTGTGTCGGGGACTAAGGTCAACCCGACAACGGACGCCATTAGAGACCCCGACGTCGTGGAGGCCTGTAAAGCAACAGTCGAAGATCTCGACTCAGTCCAATTGGACGACGCCGACCTTACGAAGAAAGCCTACATCGGGAACGGCCTCGCCAACCCAAGTAAGTATCGTGAATTCCTAACTAACCATGAAGATTTGTTCGCTTTTTCCCATTCAGATATGCCGGGAATCCCGCGAGACATCGCCACCCACAAGCTGAATGTCGATCCATTACATCCGCCCGTGCAACAGATGAGAAGGAAATTCAATGCCGCTATCAATGAAGCGGTCAGTGAGGAAGTAGACAAGTTACTGGCCAACGGCTCCATCAGAGAATCGAAGTACCCCCTGTCGCACCTCCTTTTTACCTACACCCCGCAAGGGTGTAAAGGAGTTATTTCCAACTTGAAGTGACAATCAGAACGAGATTTATTATTAATATTTAGAGTCTCCACTTGGGAGATTAATGGTGTCCCAAGTCACCGATTGAATCCCGAACCGAGGAAAATATGACTCTGTTAACAGTCCGCGAACCAGAAATCCGAGTAAGGAATTCTGTTAACCCGGGAGAAGGTGTTAGGCATTCCCAGGTTCTGTGGTTCTAGCACGGTCGCTCAACTGTTGTATTTGGATTTTATCTGATTTCAAAACATGTTTTAGCTTATGTGCTTTTAAATTTTAAACCGCTTTTATTATTATTTTTAATGAGAATTGCAACATCGTGAAAACGTGTCTCGAACCATGTCACATCAATGCACCCGTGGTTGTTGACACATTTCGACTTCGTTGAGATTTGGATCTGGGTCACATAAATGCGCACCCGAGTTTAGGAAGGTAAATTATTAAAATACGCGCCTAAAGAGACTAACGCATTATTATCTTTGGGGAAGACCGTGAAATTCGCTAAACGGCCCGTCCCCAATTCTAAGTATTTTTATATAACCATTTGTCGAGGGCCCCGCGATTTATTTATTTTGTTTAGCGAGGCTCATCTCATTTTATTATTAAAAGGCAATCCTAAAGCAATCTATAATTTTCTATTTTAATTTTGTCTCCAATAATGAAAGGAAAAGTCCTAATTAATTTGTTATTGGACCAAATGATAATTCTGCACCACAGTCCAGCCATTGGGCTCCAAGATAAGCCCAACAAGGATAAAACGTACCCGAGCCCATACGAGTCAGGCTAGTTCGTCAAAACCTCTGGCCCACGCCCAAACGTAAGGGA